GGGTTTCTCCCTAGTGTGAATTTGTTCATATATTTGAGGGCTACTATTTTGACTGAATGCTTTCCCACATTGCTTACATACATAGGGTTTCTCCCCAGTGTGTGTTCTTTCATCATTTTTTACAGACATTATGTCTGCTGAATGCTTTCCCACATTGTTTACATACATATGCTTTCTTTCTCATGTAGGATGTTGTATGCCTACTTAAAGAGGACTCATTAGAAAATTCATTTCTGCATTGCTTATATACATAAGATACTTTCCCAGTCTGTTTTTTCCTACATTTTGAAAAAGAGTTACTAACTGCTAATTCTTTTACACATTTCTTAGTTACATGGGGTTTTTCTTCAGCACGTCTTCTAGTTGTTGTGGAGGCTTTCCCATTATTCATACCTACAATACCTAGAGTTCGTTCACTAAGATCAGAGTTGATGTCTTTACATTGTCCATTTTGAAAGGGATTCTCTCCAGTCTTTCTCATTTTATGCTTCTGAATGGACTGGAAATCACTGTAGGTTTTTCCATCTTTCTTACATTTATATAGCTTCTCTTCAAATCTGAAAGAATTCTCTGAATCATATGTTAGATTCCTGAGCAGTTTTTGTCCACTTCTACCATTCATTTTGCAGCCAATGTTTTTCCTGTTTCTAGACCTTTAATACTCATAAGTGTTTCCCACATCACATCTCTGTAGAGCTTCTTTTGAGCTGGATTCAGCAAATCCCACTCTGCTAAAGTGAAGTTCACAGCTATATCCTCAAAGGTCACTGTCTAAGGCTGATAGTTTCTCTCCTTTGGCATATTTCTTTGTCCAAAGTAATGTTCTCAACTCCAGGCACCTGATTTTTAGACTTCTACTTTGTGTGTCACACTTCTTGGTTTGAAGACCCCATTGGGTGGCTTGAGGGGCTCTGAGGATCCTTCACAGCCCATAGCAAGATGAAATCACAGAAACAGCAGGTCAAGTCAGCTATAGGCTCTCAGTCTTGAACTCACATCATAGGAAAACTTGTACTGTAACACCATGTAACTCAGCCGTTTCCCAAATTTCCTGATCAAGGTGATTATGGGGCCACAGAGCAACATGATTGATGACGTAGAGAGTGCACCTAAGGAGAGTCATATGGAGAGAAAATATTCTTTCAGGCTTTCACAGAGAGCAAATTGGTCAAGCAATGGCTATGACTCATCCACATGGCTGACACTGACAAAGGATCTGCAAACTGCAGTACAGGGTAACAGGATAAATCCAGAGGAGATTTGGCTAACCTTATCAGATACAAAAGATACATTTCTTGTTATGTAGGTCTTGCTTTATCTTGTTCTTAACAATCCTGCAGAAAAGTATAAAAATGAGTTATAAAAAGTAAAGCCATATTAATATACTGAGCTGTGAAAGGCTCAAGTCAACAACTTCTGACATTGCCAGTCCTACTAATAATCCACTACTATTATGGACTACTGGACTATATTGGATTATTTTGCTGAATTCATGCACCTACAATATTTAAATTACAATGGAATACCCATCTCTAACAAAACTAAATAAAAACATGGGATACAAAGGAAGGACCATTTTGTATCTGTATATAAAAAAATAGTTAGGATAGATATACAGCTACTTTCTCTTAATTCAGTGAGAAGAAAGATTTGTACTAATAGTATTTGGACAGGATATCATGTCTGCATCTTGTACTATGAATAACCACTAAGAAGATAACAATATACAATGTATTAATTATTGAAACTGTCCTATTATTCGGTTTTGAAACTGTCTCATTGCTGTTTCTCAATGAAATTAATTTTTGAAAAAGAATGGTGGCTTTATTAAATCATTTGTTTAGATGTCACCATTAGTAACAATTCACCCAACTGCTGGTAACTTGCTGAGGGAATTCCAGTTTGCTGAGGGAATTCCAAAAAGTCAAGTAGAATCTTCCCATCACAGCCAATAAGCCCCTAAGTGATTTTATTTGTCAGACACTTAAGCCAGGAAAATAAGAGGCCCAGAATTTCTCTATCCTATCAGAAGTGCTCCATCAGTAAATATAGTCAGATAAATATAAATTCAGACAGTTGAGAATTGGACACCAAAAGCACTTCCTAACTTCTAATGGAATACTACCTTACATTGTTCAGTGTCAAAGTTGGAGAATTATGATTATTTTAAGTTTTAAGTACTATAGTAGTAGTATTTTAGCAGCAGTCATTTCATTCTGAAATAAGTAGTTTTACTGAGCATCTATTTCTTAAATCCTTAAGCCAAAATTTTAGACAAAGCAATTTGAAAGATAGGTGCATTTCACAAGTTCTGTTTTACAAGCTGTCAGCTACAGGTTTGCCTCTTGACAGGTTGCCAGATTCAAGGAGGTGTGGCTAAAGGTGTATAGCTCTCTAGTGCCAGCAGATGTTACACAATGTCATCTTCACATTTGTAATCTTTGTTTCCAGTTTAGTGACACTGCTCTTGAGGAATTAGTTGTAAATAATGATGTTATTAGTATTTTTTTAACCTATTATTTAGTGGAGTTTGGGCATTCAGATTTTAATCCCTTGGTAGCAAGATGCAAGCTCTTGATTCTCACATGAACTCCTAATTGTCAAAGAGTTAAACAGCCAGTATCCACTGAGATACTGAACCTGTGCTGATAAAATTTAGCAGAACAGAAAGAAGAGGAAGTTGAATGCCACATTGAAGGGATTGTGGGTGCCTTTTAGTCAATGTGAGCTGCTATAACAAGATCTTATACAAGATGTCTTAAACAACAACCTTGTTTCTCACAGTGTTAGAAGCTGGCACAAGTAGCTGACACACTTAGTGTCTGCTGAGGGCCTTGTCTCTGGCTTGCAATTAGAGAGTCACCTTCCTGTGATATCCTTCGTTGGCAGGGAGGGAGAAAGAACTGCAGTCATCAAATCTAATTTCACATTAGATCTGACCCCGTCTCATAAGGGCACATGTCCTAATGTCATACTGGGGTTAAGGCTTCAACATATGAATTTTGCAGGAATACATATTTAGTATGTAACAGTGGGTGACATAAGCCAATAGGAGAAGGTTAAAAAAAAATCACATGAGGCTTCACCTTCATGATCTTTTAAAAAAATTTTTAAAAAATCTTTTACTTGTTTGGTACAGCATCTCACTATGCAGCTCAGACTCATAGTGATCCTCATGTTTCAGCCTCCTTAGTGCTGGGATTACAGACATGTGCCACCATGCCTGATTTCATGAGTGGCCCTGTGAACCCAGGGTTCAGTGGCCACACAGCATGTGGTATCAGGGACCCAATCTAGGTCCTTGCACTGGTCAGGCAGGCGCTTAGACTGTGGAGCTGTCTCCTTGGTTCTGTTTGTTACTTCAAAGCATTTATAATCTTTCTGGAAGTCATTATCTTCTAGAGAAAAGTATCTATCTCCATCCAAGGATTTTCCCAAACTTTTATAATAAAGTGATCTTCACTATTGTCTGATTTCATCTCTTAGTTACTTCTCAAACTCCAGGAAGTCATTTGTTCCAATTGGATCTAGAGCAAGGAGGCCATAAACTGTTATTAACACAAAAAATTTTCTTGGACAAGTTTGAAGTCTTGTTCTTCCAGTCATTTCTTTATCCTAGTTGCAGTTAATGTGCTAATTCTTTTTCGATGTTAGCACTTTAAGTTCTAATACCATTTAAGTTTCTTGCTTTTCTTCTCAGGTTCTATACTTGTACTTTGCTTTGTTTTTATCCTTTAGTTTTTCTGAAATCTTTACTTCTGGCTTTACTTCTCTGTCTTTTTGCAGCATCAGCACTGCAGATGTTTTTACTACTCTTGTTCTTATCTTCCCCACTTTTCCTGCTGACATTAATGTGGATCCTCAACATTCACTGTGGCTTGGCAACCAGATGGATCTGGATTTTACAGAAAACCTGAATGAGCACAGAAAGGCAGACTCCCTTCAAATCTTGAGAGGTGAGCACCACCCAACTGACATCATGGTTCCTATGATTGGGATCACAAGCAGAGAACCCAGTTGAACCTCCAGGACTTTTGACTTATAGAACTGTGTATGAAAATAAGTTTTCCCATTACTGGGATGTGATAGCAAGCACATTTAAGGAGAGGTTTACTTTTGCTCAAGATTTTAGGAGATTCAGTC